AGGCTTCAGAGGGAGGTGGCGCTGCGGCCGAGCCGGCTGAGTCCCAGGAAGGGCCGGTGGCCACCGAGGCTGCGGGCGAGGAGGGGCCCGGAGAGCCGGAGTGGCCGGCGGAGGCCGAGTCTGGGGAGCCCGCCGAGACCGGGCCTGAGGAGCCAGCCAAGCCAGGGTCCAAAGATGGGCCCCAGGAACCACTGAAGGAGGAGAAGGCGGACGAGGACGAGGAGGACGCAGAGGACGCGGAGGAGGCGGCGGAGCCGAGGAAGAAGGAAGTCTCGTCTCATGTCCCTCTGCAGCTGTCCTCGACCCGCAAGGAAGAGGCTGCGCCAGCCCGGGAGGCTGAGCCGGAGGGACACGTGGAGGAGGAAGGGAAAGAGAGCGAGGAGACTGAGGAGACCGAGAGGAAGCGTGTGGAAGGACGCCGGGAGAAAAGAGAGGAAGAGCTGAGAAATGTGGACAGGGAACTCGAGTCTGACGATTACGAGTGGACTGAGGAGGTGCAGAAGCGGCAGGAGCAGCAGCTGCGCGCCGAGCTCCTGGAACAGTACCACTCCCTGATGGTGGAGCGAGGTCGCTACCAGCGCTACAACATCTACCTGCAGCACAAGATCTTCGAGGCGCTGCGCAAGAAGAAGGGCCTGGATGCAGCCGAGGTGCCTGACAAGGACACGGAGCCTGAGGCGCCCGAGAAAGAGCAAGCATACCTACACCATCTGGTCCTGCTGGAGGATCTGAGGAAGCAACAGGCAGACGACCTGAGCTGGTATCACCAGGAGCTGGACCAGCTGAAGCAGCAGTGCAGAGAGAAGCTCTCCCAGGTGGAGAAGGAATGGCTTCACTTCCAGGCACTCAAGAAGCAGGTGGTGATGCAGGCCATGGGCAGCTGTCGGATGCAGGGTGGTCGCCAGGCCGCTCTGCAGGAGGTGGAGCAGATCCAGGCGTTGGAGGATAAGAAGGAGAAGGAGATGAGCGCCGTGAGGCTGGAGAATGTGCAGCTGAAACAGAGTCTGGTGCATTTTGAAACCAGGATGAAGGCCCAGGAGGACCTGACTGAGGGCCTGCTCCTTATAGATTTTGAACAGCTTAAGATTGAGAACCAGACTTTCAATGAGAAAGTTGAGGAGCGAAATGAGGAACTTTTAAAATTACGCACCAAGATGACCAACAATGTGCAAATAATAACGCACGTGAAGGAAAAGTTACACTTTGTGGATACAGAAAATGCTTGTAAAAAGTCAGAGCTTATGGAGATTGAGGCTCAGGTGGCTCTAAGGAGGGACATCTTGACCAAGACCAAGCAAGCCCGAGACAGCCTGCGGATCGACAACATCAAGCTGAATCAGAAGTGTGGGCTTCTGGGCAAGGAATCTCTCCTTCGGGACATGGAGGAGAAGGTGGACAGGACTGAGGAGCTCAACCGGCGCTTGGAATCCCTGAAGCACCATCACGCCGGGCTGACTTTGTCCTGCAGGGGTGTGAGGCAGAAGATCAGGGAAGCCAAAGCCTTTCTGCCCTCTTGACACAGTGATTGAAAGGGTCCACAGAATGTCTTCAGTCTCAGCAAACCTCATCCTTCATTAACTTTTATTCTCCATCTGTTGCCATTCTTAGAAAGGCCCATGATATTTGGGATGGAATTGTATTTTGTATTCTTAGTTTTTCAAGTTTCCAAATTAGTGCTGAGCATAAAACCGAGCACTGTTTATATGGGATGAAGTAAAACAGGTACCGAGAGACAAACATGGATGATTTAATGTCCCTGACTTCCAGAAAGCTCTCAAAAGCTGTTTTATATCTGAACAATTCCATAGTTTCAGTGTCCTGATACTGAGAAAAACTGTTCCTCCTCCATGTGCAGAAGGGTTCAACAAATGGGCAGGGTGTCAAAAAAATTTCCTGTGCATTAAGCTGATTATTAAATCCCCTTTGAATGGATTGCACTTTGTCATCCCGAGTCACTGTCTCAATTCGAAGCTCACTAATTCCCTTAGTCTAAAGTTGTTTTTCATGTAAGTAGCACCAGCTTCTGGGTTAATAAAAACACCAGGAACAGGAGGAATGGTAACTAGGGAACGGGGCTCATGTTCCTTCATCTCTCTTTTTTCAATGAAAGGAAGCTCAGTCTGCTTTACTATGAATGTTTGTTTCTGGCTCAATGACAGTCTTCAATTCTAATGAAACGTTTTCTTGGATCCACTAAAGAAATGCATTGATCTGTACCAAAAAAAAAAAAAAGAAAGAAAGAAATTTTGTTTTCTAGTGAAGACAAAATAGTGATTGTATTATGTGTTTTTCCAGGTGCAAAATATACAGTGGTGACTGCTGACTGTCCATAAGCCTTTTGTTTTCAACAAGATATTTTCAGATCTTGGCAACACTACAGACCCTCACTAGGCATGTGATTTTGCACTGTATCAAATATTAAAATGTCTGTCGTTCCTTGAGTTAATGTACAACAGGCCTGATAGGTCTAGCTCGTTAACCCAGAGTGATTAACATTTTCAGTTTTCTTTGACGCTTTTGGAGCTAGAGGCCTGGTTTTAATTCTTCTTAATCTTAGCTTGAATTTTCAGATGCTCAGATTTGGGATTAAAAGTATTTTCTCATCTGTAAACTTAAGAAGGACCATAAGAAGGGTGATCTAGTTTTTGGTACTACACACCTTTAAAGAACGGTCGAAACCCCACTCTGGGCAGATGACTCGGTTGTTCCATGAGAGTGTCACAATAACTTTTGTCTTTGGATGACATGATTTTGTTTTCTAAATGTGTTCCCTTTGAAGCCAATACAGGTTGATTAAAATTGCTTTTCTCACCTGCACAGCTTAAATACACTTTAAAAAAAATAATACTGTACTTATTAAAGCACACAAGCGAGACAGTGAGGGGAGTGAAAGCTTCGCCTCCCTGCTTCCATTCTCCTCATCTTCTACAACTTCTGTCTTCACCAAGACTAAGGTCAAGCAGTAAATAACTGGCAAATAGGACTTCATTTTCCCTGCACCGCAAGCTGAAAGCAGCACCGGCCCGCTAGGTTCTTTTGTGGTCGGGGAGGCTGGCAATGGGCTCAGTGCATTCACCAAGCAAGCAGCTTTCATTATAAGGGTGGCCATGCCTCTGGCTCACAAGAGAGAGAACAGGTTATTTTCAGCAGATTTTGAACCACTGGCAATTACCCAGGTGGAACCCAACACTGCCTCACCAGCCTTCAGCCCGGTGACAGGCAGGTCTCTGAGAGCACAGAGATACAAGAGAGACAGACGGGGTTGGTGTTGCTTTAAGCAGCCAAGTTACTAATGTTCTCTCAAGTTATATTACCTCATGCTGGAGATGTTCCAATTAGAAGATGAATACTCTGCTGACTACCTCATAATGAGGTTCTTTCTAATTAGATTATAGGAGAGCTCCCGGTCCTGAAATAGCAACACATTTCACAAACCGTTTAAGATTGCCCTCGAGGAAGAATGCCTCGGACCCTAAAGCATCCTCTCCCCAGTTTTACTGACCTCCCTCTGTCCGCGCAGCGGCCTGCGTTTAGCCCCAGCCCAGCCTTTGATCCACTGCTTTCTGACTGTCCGCTGAGTTCTCTGGGCCCCATGAGACAAAGGCCCTGCGAGGCCTGTTGATTTATCATCCTCCCCAGTGGCCAGCACAGGGCTGAGCACATAACCAGTGTTCAATAAACTTGTTAGATTAATACATTAATATAATGCCAGTCTCGTTTTCTGAAGATAAGTGTTACTTGCATGCTTATGGTATGTCGGGCACCAAGTCCTACGTCGGATTCAAAACCAACTACAGGTAGAAAGAGGCTCTCTCAAGAAGTGAGGGAGACGACGGGGAGGCAGGCCCGCAGCCACGGAACGACGATGCTGCAGACAGAGCCGGCCACCCCACCAGGGACCCGTCCTCCCCGAGGGGAAGGTTAAGGAGTAATGCGGAGTCTGGACTAGAAACCCCTAAAACTACCATTATTTTTATGACCACTAAAATCAAGGGCTAAAGACTTTTTCATCTCCTTGTCAAAAAGTACAAGGCCTGAAAAATGCAGGCACAATAAATTTTGAATGCACTATTGTATGAAACTAGCCTTTTTGTCTTGTTTTCAACATTTTATCCTAATTTAGAACGGACAGATGCACAGCACTTGCTGATCTGCAGGCTGAGGGCCAAGGCATCGTCGTAAGTGTGAGGACTCTGGTGAACCCTTTTGAATTGCCCTATGGACTTCAGCTTCCCTAACTTTTCCAGTTCTCACTCACACTCAATTCAATACCAATTTTAATGACATTTGCCCTTTTTGAGACTTTCCAAAGCATTTAGTTTGACGTTCGTAGAAACAAAAATTCTTTTTTTTCCCCACCATTGGTCTACATGATATTTAATTAAATTATGTAAATACAGTAATTACTACCTCGGGCATAAACAAACTCTGGAACCATGACAATCACAATGACTTACACTCAACTCATGGAAGTGGAAGTGGACGTGCTGGAGAGTGGCCCCCCAAGCCAGGAGCATTCAGGGTAAACTGGCCTTGTTTTAAAAAATTCGTCTGAGTCAGATGTGTCCCCTTCAATGTTAGTTTTTTTGGTTTGTTTTCGGCAGCCCTGGCAAGAGAGAAGCAGGCACTATGACAGAGCCCAAGGCATCTGAAAAAGAAACACTTTTTCTTTGGTAAATGAAAATCATTTTTGGTGACTTAACCACATTTATAATTTTTTAACTATAGAAGTGGAAATACATGCTCTTTTGACAAGTTCCTCTGCAGCCGTTATTTAGCTTTTTGCCACTGGCCAGGGGTGCTTGTCTATGAAATGAGTTAATGCACCCCAACTTGGCAGGGGTAGTCTTTTAAGTCAGAGTGATGAAGCATGAAAATGCTACGCAAGGAAAGGGCTCCAGGAGACTACATCCCCCATGTTGGGACGACTCGTCAGAGCAGCTAGCTGGAGCTGGGACCAGCAGGAAGGGCACTGCTCAAGTCCGTGGCTCCGACTTCGCATGTAATAACCAACGTCTAAATACTTCAGTGAATAAATGTACACCCTCTCCAATTTTTTAATCGATGAAGTCTTCTATTTTTTCACCCAAAGGATGCCAAGGACTACACAGATGTACCTAGAAGGGGAAGACGTTGTGCAGTGCTGGAGAAAAGACTTTGGAATCAGGCTGGCCAGCATTCAGCCGTCTTCTGAGTATGCCCTGGGACTAATACCTCAGCTTCCTAAGCCTCAACGTACCCACCTGTAAAATGGGGACAAATTTATTTATAGGAATAAAAGACAAAAATACGAAAAAAGTCTCTTCTCTGGGTGGTGAAGTTACGACGTGTGTGTTTGTGTTTCTGTATTTCCAAATTTTGTACCATGACGGGCATTTAATTAGGGGGAAAAAAATCCCAATTTTTAAAATTCATACATTCACCAAGAGTGAGTGTAAGATACTAAAAGTTTACATGCCAGGAGCATGATTCCAATGGCAGTTGTTTCTTTTAATGACACAATTAGTACAGCATTTTAGGATTATTTTAATCCTCAGAAGCCAGGGTATAGGTGCTGGGCACCCTTCTTAACCTTCGGTTACAGAAAAGGGAGACAAGGCTTAGAGAATTTAAATTCTCTGGTTCTTAAGAAACCTTAAGAAGTTGTTGAAATGATTGCTTTTGACCAAGCAAAGCACTGAACTGATTCTCAGACTTCGATGGATGAGGGAGATTAACAAATGTTTACATACTCAAGACCGTCAAATTTGAGTTGAATCTTTGTGTCTTCTGTGTCATGTTGTCCGCAGTCAGATTTCTTCCAAAGTCTATTTTCTAAGAATGAAGAACTTTCCTATAATACTAAAAGGCTTAAAAAATTTTTCCAGTTCTTAACCTCCAGCTAATCTGCCCCTTAAATGTGAATTTACTTTTGGTTGGAACAGTCTCTGCCAGGAGCTCTGAACAGGGTGGAGCACTGAAGAAACGTGTTTAAGAAAACTGTG